GCTGGCTCTCAGTTTTCTGCACATATCCTTTGTGCTAGATCTCATCTCTGCTGCCCTTTTTTAGCCCATGGTTATTCTTTCCTGCAAGCACAAGGGAACTCTGGTAATTGGGGAAGGCAATAGCAACATTTCAAGAGCAGTTATGAACCAGCATTTTGTGCTACACATGTCACCTATATTGTCATGTTTTTGGGATGAACAAAAGCTCCAATCTTTGCCATTACACATACCCTTGAGTGCAATGGACCAGGGGTCAAGTAAGCCAAAATAATCTGCATTTGACATGAAATACAGCAACCCAACTGCTAGAGAAACCACAACACCAAAACATTTTGAATTCCAGGCCTTTTTACTAATTAACTACCTTTGTTTTCAGTAAAAAAGTGGGGAAAAAAACTTCTTAAAGAACACCATTATGTTAAAAACTCTGGAGTTAGGGAAAAAAACTTTAACGGCTAGAGGCATTTTTGAGACAGGTACAAAACTTGCTATGAGCAAGCAGCTCTCAATAGAAACCAAAATTGTTTTACTGAACTATTGATCCTAGAAGTGGCTGTATGAGTTTTAATGATCTGCTTTTAGAGGACAATATGAGTGTGGATAACAGAATCCAATATTCCTTTGTATGTGTTTACATAAATAAACCAACAAATAAAAAAAACCCCTTACAATTTTCTTAAAGAGGGAGAAAAATCCCTTCAAAGCTTTGCATTAACATTTGCATGATTCACACATTTATATGATTTTTTCAATGAGATATTCTTCTTGATATGCTAAGATGGAGAAAAGTAAAATCTTTTAAGCTTAATGAGATTCACATATAAGCTCCTCCTCGCTTCAAGAATGTTTCTTACCATCCCATTCTCCCACATTTGCCTCACAGTGAAAAGGATGTTAAAATGGAAAATCAGATTCGTTTGTAAACATTAACCAATGAGTTTCTCAGCAAAGACTGAAAAAAAATTACGTATACATTCTGTGGTTTCCATTTCCTTGGTTTTATTGTCTTTATGTAAATTCTCCCAGGACTTTTCAGGTTATATGTCTGGAAGCTGTAGCCATTCAGTAGAGCAAAAGTTGAGAGAATAATGAGAAATGTGCTGGAAAAATTCACATAAAAGCTTTGGAGACATGAAAATGGAAACAACAGATACGTAAAAGCCTTAACACTCAAAAAAATAAATGTCTACCCAGCATGTGCATACATGTGTTTTAGTGCAGCTCACAGACATATTAATTGTAAGGACATTGTATAGAGCAGCAAAGAAGTGGTATATGACAATTTTGAGATGTTTTCAGGATATTAAGGCAATGAAAGTGAATAATCCAAATGATTTCTGTTGATAGAACCTGGACATACATATAAATAGCTCTATACATAGTTGTCTTGCATACAGTTTTATATATCTTTTTATGCAAATGAAATAACCAAATATGACGTGAAAGTGTGTTTATGAGATCTCCCTGAAGTCTTGTGCATGACAGCAACTTCAGTGTCATGGAAATATGCAGAATCTACAGGTAGGAAATAATCTTCAGTTGCTATTCTTAAACATTCTTTTTTTTTTCTTCCAGTACTCTTACAGAGACTTTGACATTCAATAATGAACCTGTGATGCTAGACTAAGCTTAGTCTGAGTATGCTTCGCTTTATACAAGTATTAAATTATTACATATGAAAACTCCAAACCTTTAGCCATAACCAGCCTTTATGACTCAAGTTTTACAGAATATTATTTTCAGAAGACTCTGATAAGATGATCTCTAAAACAGACAGCTCTTTAAGACAATTCTTAACAGGTACCCAAAAAGCAGGCTTGGGGTCAAGCTGGAAGAATGGATGAATTTGTGCACCTGATCCTATAAGAAAAGTCCTTGAGATAAGTAGATAAGAGTGTTCTTGGCATGCTCTGACCCACCAAGCCCACCACCACAACAGGCAGCAAATTAAATCCCTCTAAATGGCATCACAAGGGCAAGTGACCAAAGCACACAGCTCAATACTTTACTATTCATCAGCTGAGCAACGTGACTGATGCTCCTATCCCACAGCAAATAGAAGTTAAAAATGTATTAACTCAAACAACATCAGGCAAAACTACTTGTAGCTGGTGGCATTTGCTGGGTCCCCAGGATGAAGGAGGAATTGAGACTCTGACTCCATGTTCTCAGAAAGCTAATTTATTATTTTATGATATTATATTATATAAAAGAATACTATACGAAAGAATACAGAAAGGATACAGACAGAAAGCTTAACTAGATAGCAATTAGAAATTTGTGACTGACTCGTCTGAGTCCCAACACAGCTGGATGGTGATTGGTCATTAAGTTAAAACAATTCACATCTTGGATAAACAATCACCCGCCACGTTCCAAAGCAGCAAAACACAGGACAGAAAAATGAGATAATATTGGTTTTCCTTTTTCTCTGAGGCTTCCCAGGAGAAGAATCCTGGGCAAGGGGATTTTTTGGAAAATATGACAGTGACAGCAGCTAATACACACATAGCAACTGCAACTGGTTTTGGAGTGCATACATGATCATTTAACAAGGCTCATGTGGTGCAAGGGAACTTAGAATGTCTGTACTAACTTCACTTCTAATTGATTATTCACATAGAAAAAGGTGACTTCATTTGCCACCCAACTACATTTATGTTTATGATACTGAAAAGCTATGCTCCTAATTTAGTAGTTTTGCTAGTATGGTTCTGACTCATAGTATCAAAATGAGAAATAGAGCTAGACAGCAAAATCTGCCTTTTTATACAAAAAAAATTGCCTTTGGTATAGGTAGACATAGGTAAATTAGAGTGAGGTTTAGGCTGTCTCAGTGACATGTTATGTATATTATACATAAACTAATATCTATAATTATATATATTAATTTAATATATTTTAATATATATTTTAATATTTTAACATTTATATATATTATATAATATATATTATAATATATATAATTATATATATATTATATATATATTTTTTTTTTTATACTGAGAGATTACATTGACACAAAAAAATAAATCTAAGTACCAAGTACTCAACAGAAGATATGGAAGGGGTGATACAGTCTGCCAGGTAGTGGCTTAACTAATAACCTCAGATTTCCACAGAGTTTGTTGCAGAAATAGAAAGAAATTCTACAAGAATGGTTCACAAGCTTAAAGTCTTCACTACATGAGAGATAATAAGTATGGCAAACTTGTGCCTGACACACAATCTGAGGCAGCAAAACAAATCTCCTTACAGTTAGAAAGTGAATATTAGTGGCAGAGATATAGAAGGTGATTATACATCCCTCTCTCAATGTATTAATTTTTATAATTTAGAATAACACCCCCTTATCTAAGGAAAGATCATTTTGGGGTTTTATAATGCCAGTTGGAATGAGTAAACCATGTCCAACATTTCTGTTCAGGAGAAATAGTATAACCATTTTATAGCCAGCGTGACTTCTGAGAGGAAGGAAAATATAGCAATGAAATCCAGACTTCTGGCTACCTTGACCAATTTTGCTTCAAAACTGATATTTCCTGCCAGGGTGAATTTTACTGGCTCCATAAGCAGAGTGAAGAAACTCACTAGTTCCATAAAACTTCCTAAGAATCTTTTACTTGACTTCTCAGCTTAGATAAAACAGCACAGTAATTCATGTTAAATGCAAGGCTTGTGAAACTGCTTTGGAGTGCTTCACTGAAAAGTGAGCTTGTTTTCAGGGAGCTGGGAAAGTGACTTCCCAGATTTTTGTATCTAGCAGACACATCTCTTACTTCCTCATCAACCTTCTTTGCCATGTATGTTATCAATCAAAAGCTGTAATGGAGGAACATTTACTATAGCTTAGCACAACCATAGATGAATACCCTCAAAACACTTATTTTAATGCTCATTTTAGAGATTAAATAAAAAATTACACAATAGACTCTATTGGGGAATAGAACAAATAGAACAACAAAACAGAAACAAAAGCTACAACACAAGAAACACTGGCCACCCCTGTTCATACTATCACATCTACTCAGAAGAATACAGCAGACATCTGAACGGTCCAATATGGTGTGATTGTAAATCTGTGCTCTGGCCTAGCATTTAAGATAGGCTGTTCTCTCTTCTATTTCCTTCTTTGTGTTTAAATAATACATAACAAAGGTTATTTTTTTCAGACTGTGTAATGAAGTGATCATTCTTCTGTATGATTTTCTTTAAGGTATCATTGTGAGTTTCACTCATTGTGAGTTTCACTTCTTGTTAGGTAAAAATAGACACTCTGTAGTTTACAGAACATGAAATACACATCCAAACACACCATGAAACAGTATGAGAGACTCCTACAAGCATCATTAGTAGAGGAAGCAGGTTGATATCAAGCAACCAAAGACCTGTGTGAAGCCTAAAAATAAACTTTGGGGTCCTTTTTAAAAAAGTAATCAAGCAGGAAAGCACAGTGCACACAATGCTACCTGAAAATCCACTCACCATTCTACCTGCCCCATCTCTGTGTTCTTACCGTATCTCTTAACATGAACTTTGCCTTTCCTAGCCCTTTCCCCAATACTAACACTCTGCCTCACACGAATTGCTGTTTCAAGTGCCTTCAATGCAGACCCAGAGAAACCTACAACTGGTACCCCACAGGGGATGGTCAGGAATACAGGAATACCGTGGCACATCTCGTTCTGTGCCTCTCAGCACAAACAGGGTTAGGGTTAGTGATTGTCCTGCTCTGCTCTGCTGTGCCCTCACCTCGCATCCTGTGTGTGGTTTGGGCGACACGATATAAGAAAGAAATAAAGCTACTGCAGAGTAGCTTTAGGAGGAGGGCAACGAAGATGGCGAAGGGCATAGAGCAAAATGATCTGCTTAAAAAAAAAAAAAAAAAAAAAAAGGAAAGAAAGAAAGAAAAAAAAGTCGCGGTCGGTTTTTATCATTTTAATTCAATTTCCCGCTCCGGGTTGGGTGATCGGCCGGAAGTCGAGTGACGGCTCCGCTGCCAGCAGCGATCCGCACCGACTGACACCCCGCCCGGCCAATCGAGCTGCACACGCCGGCCCTCGGGCCGGGCTCGGCCCCGCGCTCAAACCGGCAGCGCCAAGCCTGCTCCATGGAGGCCGTACTGGGGCAGGTGGAGCAGCTGCCCGCGCTCCTGGCCGTGTCCCGCTCCGCGCTGGTGCGGGACTGGGACTGCCTCACGCTGGACAGGGCTCTGGAGTGGGCCCGCTATTTCCAGCACCTCCATGACCGGTTCCGTGCCCGTCCCCAGCTCCGGGAGGCCCTCGGGCGGCGGCTGCGCCGCTCCCAGCCGTGCCCTCTGCTCGGCTTCCCCGCGCTGGGCCGCTGCCCGCAGCTGCTGGGGCTGGCGCTGCTGGAGAACCGCGCTCTGCCGCCCGCCGCCTGCCGCCGCCTGCTCCGCAGCCTGCTGCCGCCTCCCGCCGCGGGGCCTGCCTCCGACCCCCGCGGGCTGGGGCTGCTGGCCCGCCGCAAGGCCGCTGCCCGCCTGCTGGCCTTGCCCCGCCGCGGCCCCGGGCCCGAGCCGCAGCTGCAGGCGGAGGCGCGGCTGCTGCTGAGCCGGCTGCGGCAGGAGGCTGGGGAGGCCGCGGGGCGGCTGTGCGGGGCTCAGGAGGGGCAGCAGGCTGGGGAGGCCGAGGGGCGGCTCTGCGGGGCTCAGGAGGGGCAGCTGCGCTGGTTGTGCGGGGCTCTGGAGCTGCTGCCCCAGCCCCGCGCCTTCGGGGTGGTGGCGGCGGCGCTGGCTCTGCTCAAGCAGGGCCATGGCGCTGAGCAGGCCGGGGATGGGGGCAGCAGCCCAGGCGGGTACCAAGAGAGTGCTGCAGGAAAGGAATGCACCGCCGGGCTCCTGCTTTCCTGGCTGCTGGGCAACCAGGAACGATTTTCTGCCTTCTGCCTTTGCATCCCATGTTCCCATCTCGCCTTCCTGGCTGGTCACTACTCCCAGTTATGCAGAGCTTATCTGGACCTCTTAACCGGCTGGGGAAGGCACTTGCACTATGACCCCTTGCAGGGACAGTGGGTCAAAAGTTGCGTTGAGAAAGCTGAATTGTCCTGGGAGGAATTGAGGGAGCGCTTCATCTGCCTCTCTGAGGGATCCACGCCGCTCAAAGAACAGACCCAAGCTGCCCTGGAACTCCTGAGGACACAAGATGGAGACTTCCGAGTCCGTGGCCTAAGTGTGTGGACTGACTTACTGATGGAAATAGGCTACTCATGCATGGACACAAAAGCAACAAAGAAACTTAAAAAATCAAGTAAATCTGGTTAACTTTATTTGGTGTGAAAGGCCAGGCAGCTACTCCTCACTTCGTTGAAAACCAAATGTTACTGTGACTGCTGATCACAATGATTCTGACTGCATCTGGTTCTGAAGTCTTTCAGTGAGGCCTGGTGTTTTCTTGTGGTTGTGCTGTCATTTCTGGTCAACACAGAAAATGTCTTCCTTTCTAGTACTTGCTGATTAATTACCTAATAAAATGAAGAAAATCCGTTCTGCTTCATATGGAGTAGTTTTGTGTTTAAAAAATATGACAATTCTGATATGGTCACGGTGTTAATTTTTCTAAATGTTGGAGGCTGACCAAAAGTTCAAAGGGAGGGTGGAGGTTCAAATGTGAAAAACACAAATTCAGGGTTCTTTTAGTAGTGATTGCCTTCATTGGGCTGTCTGCTCTGGTGGCCACGCCATGTCAATGCTTCCACAGCTCTTGCACATGACTTAGACCTAGGGTCAGTGAAGAAAGTGAGAGGAGGCCAACTGGAAAGCTTCTTGAAAAGTTCTAAAATAAAGGTCTTTATTAGTTGCTATATTATTTGATAATATCCAGGTATTTCCTAAGAAAAGTGAGGTTAAATGTAGGATGTTCTGTGGGGTTTTCTTCCCATTTCCGTTCATTGCTTTGTGAAGCAGACAAGTGAGTGAACAGCAAACTTTTTTATTACATGTATATATAATATGTATTATATACATAAAAATATGTCTATATATTTTAACAAAATCTTGAAAAATTTTATGTGTAAAATATGTAATATATACAGTATATATAATATTTCCCCCCTGTGTTATTTAATGTCTTATCTGTTTCTGTTAGGAAAACTTGAACAGGGTAGTTTCTACCTTTCCACTTTCATTGGAATGAGTACTGTAATGCAGAAGTAATGTGTGTATTCAGCTCTGTAAAGTATTACCAAAAATGAGCACTGTAAAAAGAGAATAGTCAAGGAAGATGAGGCAAATGTATGGAACTACTGCCAAAAGAGTTTCTCATTAATCTTTTGTGTGGAGGACCTGTCAGAGTTCCTGTAGACCATATTCCTACAGTTTCAGGATCAATTGAGACATCTTTCTTTTGTTGCAAAAGCTTTGTAGGAGGGGCTAAAAGATTCTTCACTTACGCTTATCAGCTTAAAGAAAGCAAACAGGCTATTAAATGTATAAACTGCATTGAAGTAAATTAGAGTAGTAGCCTGCCTTATGACAGGAAATAGTGTATATAACTATGGCAGATATTTCTGAATGGCAGAACTGAAGTGGAAAGAATAAACTGGTTTTTTAAATGGATGCAGTTAGTTTATTGTTGAATTGACAATATTGAATATTGAATATTGTTTATCTGAGGAAAGAAGTGATGCTTATTTGAACTTGTATGGAAGTAATTACAGACATAAATAAGTTCTTATTCTTCACCTATTCTAAAACAGGAGAGATACTTAGGGGTAGCAGCCTTTATATATAGTTAGGACATCCTACTAATCTATCCAAAATACAACTTTTCTTTGCATTCCTTGCTGTGTGACATCAGTGAAACAAGTTATGGAGATGTGTGGATGAACATACTCTAAAACTACAACTTGTGGCACTTGTCTGGCTCTGTCTTACATGGAGTTGTTGCCCCTTCTGGAACTTGTGGTCTGTCTTAAAAGGCACCAATGTCAGTGGGCCTGCTGACTGAGTCAGTATTCCTGTGGTATCAAAAAAATGAGAAATCTGTCTAAAAATCGGTCTGAAATCTGTCAGTGCTTAAAACTGCTTAGAAGTGTAAAGCATGAAGTTTGAATTTATGTTGTCTAGCCACAGTTCCCTGTGTTATGTAGTTTTGGCATTTGGTGTGGAAACTCTGCACTTGAGCTTGCTCTTAACGCTTTTAACAGGCATACGATTTTTGTCTGCTAAAATACTTTCTGCTATCAGAGGCTCCTGATGAATAATATACCCAAAGATGCTGGACAAAGTTATTTGCTTCTCCCCAGATATACATTAAGGGTGATTAAAAAATACTGCAATAACCTTGCAAATGTTGTAGCATCAAACCAAACTTCAGCTATTAAAACCTACTGTTCCCAGGTATCTGAATCTCTGGGACAAATTTCAATGAGGGTTAAGTCTTAGTTTTGCTAAGTTAAGTCAGGTTAGATATGTTTCCTAATTATTCTAAGAATGTTCACTATAAATTTTAACTATTTCTAGAATAAATCAGATCCTTGTAGGGAGTTTCTTCTTGCAGTATTTCAAGTCTTCCTTTTGATAAGCTTTGTGTTATAAAATTCAGTTCATGAAGGCATATGTCTTTCTTTCAAGTAATGTTTATTACACCTAAATAAGTGCAACTATAGAATCTTTTACTGGCATAGCTAGGAAGTAATAGGCCCATCAGTGACTTTATTTAGAAAGTAAATAAATAATCATGGACAGACAAGAGCCAGGCCAGTATAAACCTTATACACTGATTTCCAATTCTGTCTTCCTTAAGAAACAGGGATAGTAAAAGGTACTTTAACCTCAGTGAGACAAAAGCACCTGGTTGTAGCAATTACACAGAAATGTTCCAGTCTGTCCCAAATACATTATAAAGAGAGGCCAGATCTCTGATTACCAAATTCCAAAATCCATATGGTATTCATTGCACAAACACACTGGTGCGCATTCCCTGTTATTTCTGCGTGCTTGTGGAGTTCTCCAGGTAGCTGTGGGAATGATGAATTTTTTCGGGAACTCCATTTTTAATAAAAGTATAAACAGGAAAGGAACCTCCTCCTTTTATATATTTGCAGCTGATGTGTGCAAACTCTTGACAATCTCAACTATCATGAGTAGCAAGATACTGTAAATAACAGGCTAAGGCCTCTTCCACAGTCACCTTCCTCATTTTTCTTTTTTTTTTCCCTTAATAAGGAGAAGCAGATCTCTGCTCTTTATTAAATGATGATTGAAGAAACTGCTATGCTTGTGTTTTAGAGGATTGGTAAGGATTGTGCAAAGTATCAAGAGGATCTTGCTTGCCCAATTAACAGCTAAGACATTTTCCTGCTATTGATGTTTGATTTTTTTTCCCCCAAGAAAGAAAAAACAATTTACCCCTTGACAAACAGAATTGCAACTGCACAAGTGACATACTATGAGATGTCTGGATACAAAGTTGCCTCTTTTTCTTATTTTTCTTATGAAGTGTCAGTTCCCTTGTACTAAGCAAAATCTAAAAGAAAGCCAATTATATATTCTAGTATTTTACAGTATGTATGCAGATACTAGAATAAAGACAAATAATGTAGAATAAATTGTTCATTTATGAAAACAATGTTAGCAAATTGGTATTATTCAGGTGAATATGCAAGCCTGATGGTCACAATGCATTAGCATGAATTTTTTTTGCACTCAAGGTTTCTTTTCCCTCAGCCCTTTTCCATATAGGTAAATAAGGTTCTAATGTTCTTTTCAGTGAGCATGAAGGATGTTGGTTTTTTTTCTTTTCATGTGTAAGAAAATATTTATCAGGTCATGAAGGCAGACTAATAATTTAATCACATGGAAGTAACATTGTCAGATACCTTTTAACTAGAAAGTTGAAGTTGTGTGGCTAATTTTAGTTCTGCTGTTTCTGAAAAACAGAAGGTTTAAAGCTGAATTCTATCCCTGGTGAAGAGTTTGGATGAGTGACCCATTGCAGAGTGCCAGCAAAGGCACATCATTGCCATTCAGAATACAACAAACAGCAGTAGCATAGGAACCCTGTACTTGAGGAGCTTATTTATTTATTGGGCAGAATTGCAGAAAAGTAAATAAAATGCAAGTGGAAAGGGTGAGGAGAAAAGGTGGAAGGCTGCTGACTTTTGAGGACCCATTGAGAAAGGGTAGATTTGCATTTCACCAGAACTGAATGGCCTTGCTACTGCTGGAAACAGCATTAGTTTGGTAATTTTGTGATAAAAAATCAGAAGGGCTTTGATTTGATGTTGGCAGTTGTTCCAAAGCACTCATCCTCTGTGTGCCCAAATGACCACATTGATCAGTGGTGTAACTGGAATAATATCAAGGTACTGAATGAGAAATGTTGTGCAGGGTAGGCAAATGTTTATTTAAATAGGGGCTGGTCTCAGAGGTGAGACCAAAGGAACAGCATTATACCTGCCCTGCTATAAAATAGATTTGGATAATCACAAGTATGGTCTGGAAAACTAGCCTTTATCAGGTAATAATTACTAGAAATCCTTCTCACAGCCAGTTTGCTCTCAGTGTTTTATCTGTCTCATGAGGAATTAATCAAACACATCCTTCTTTATTAATTTATGCCCCTTAGTGATGGATTCCAGGTTAAGAGGTGCTGGACAACCTGGAAAAATTGCATGTTTGTTCTCCCCTATGTATTTCTTTTTAAAAAGTTCCAGGATAAAAAGATGATTGTATCAATGAGCTAGACCAGAGATAAACACACAGTTAAGGTGCATTCTCTTTGATAATTTCTCAGAGGTAGCCTACAAAGATAATTTAATTTATCCTTTAATTCCTTGTGTACCAGTACCTTAGAGTTACTGATTTATTATAAATATTTGATTATATGCCAATAATTTCCCATTGTGTCAGTTCTTTCACAACTGGATATCTGTGTCCCTAGATCTTTTGAGTGGTTGGCATTTTATTTATAGTAAGTATTTTGATTCATCTCAGATACCACAGAGGGTGGCAGCAGAGCCTCTCTACACAGATCTGCTTGGAGCTCTGATCCAGGGAGAGAATCCAAGCTCAAGGGTCATTGCTAGAAGCAGAAGAGATGCAGGGAGTAAACACCCACTGCTGTCAGAAGTTACCCAGTCAGAAGTTTCCAATTGAAAAGTCCTATTGAAAGTTCATTTTGTCCTTGCAATTCTAATTTTACTGGCTCTTTAATGTAGTCTAGGAGCAGGTAATAATATAAACCATATCCTCTGTCTCTATCCACAAGCCCACTTTATTAATAATATTAGGTATGCAGCTCTTAAATTCCTTTTCTATTACATGATAAATTCCATAGTATTATGTGATCAATTTACTGTAACACTTAACTAGTACATTTTACCAGAAATCATAGCAGTGTGCACTGAACAGAAAATGCAGCAATCAAATTCTGACTCTTGTCTTGAGCTGCACCTTCCTATTATATTTCTTCCTTTGGGAATGATTGCTCAGACATGGGCTATTCATAGCATGGAGCTCACAAACACACTAATCCCAGCATCTGATAAAGCT